TCACTAGCTCCCCTTCCACACACCTCATCATCGAGACATGAATTCAAATACAACCCGCTCCATACCTCAAACTGATCTGACTTCTGAAGAACGCGCCAGGCGCTTGTAACGTAGGATACGAGACACACGGAAAACTCTGACGTTACCCAACAAAGAGGGGAAAGCCAACCAGGTCCTGAAACAGAGAACTGGCTGGATTTCCTCAATGCTGCATTAAAACAAACCAACCACGAGCAAATTCGCCAGTTGAAAGAGAAAAAAAATGCAGGAAGAGAAGGACCCTAAAAGCTCCACCCAGGCGGGCCGGGCGGTAAAGGTGAATGCCAAACTGAAATCCTGTGGCAGTTTACAGAGCCTCTGAAGCAGGACGCAAAGGTTTCCCTGGATGTCCACCGAAGAGTGGCGGGAAATTGGGAACAAAAACCCACCGCCGGGGCTCGAGCGATAGTTCTCAGGCAGCATCTCCCTGGGAGCCCTGCCCGTGGTGGAGCTCCGGGACCCGAAGAAAAGGGGACAGACCCTTTGAGACAGGCAGCTGGGCGAGGGGCGTCCTCCTCTGCTTAGAGCGCCAGGAAGCACGTTTAGCTCCGTCTGCAGTCTGGGCCGACGCAAGCGGATTCAGCTCCTGGAAGAAGCTCTCGCTAGTGTCATACGGCGGGGCAGAACTAGGCCAATCAGTGTGAGGCGTGATGGGAAATGTAGTTCTTACAGAGCCTAGCAATGGAGATGGTCCGCGGGGTCATCACCCACTGGACAGCTGCTGCCCCGAAGATGGGCTCCAAGAACCCTCCCTTTTGCAGGGCTGCTCTGCCAGCTGGGGCAGAGGGGTGGGTGTCGTAGGGAGATCAGACTCCTTTCCATGGGCGAAGGCAGCTCCGCTATCGCCCGACTGAGTGGGAACCCAGGGGAGCTGCTTGGCTGTGGGGCAGTTAACTGGGAATTCAAACTCTTACGTCACCCTATTTGCAGCTTCCGGCTAGCAGCTGGGGAGGGCTCAAGCTATTCAGAGGGCCAAAGAGATGCAAGCAGTCTCCCAAAGGATGGTCGTGTCAAGGTCTGGATTAGAGCAATCAGAACCTCTTATTTATTGACAATTCACTCCCTGTCCCACACGCAGCCACCCTGGGCACAAAACCACCAGCTAAGGAGGAAACAAAGTCTCCAGGTAAGACAAAGACCGAAAGAAAGGAACAAAACCAAAAATCCACACCCTCCCCCCAAAAAAATCCCACAAATGCAAATAAATTAAATTCCCAACAAGTAAACTTAATTGGGCCTGGCAGCATTTCTGGCCACTGTATTTAAAAAATAAAATAAAGGGAAAATACAAACAAACAAGGCAAAAAAAAGGTACAAAAAAAACAAACCACAATCACAAGTGTCTGAAAAAAAGACATAAAGCTCTTTGTTGACCGTTCAACGCACACACAGACAGGACAGCTGAATCTAGGTTCCGGGCAAGACTGGCAGGCAGAGAGGCTGTCCACATTACAGGCTCCTGGAGTCCGTTGCCTCCCTCGGGTGTCCGAGCCACCAGAGCGTCCGGTCGGCTCCAAGCGGGAGGGAGAAAGGAAGGAGGCGAAAGGGCCGTCCAATGAGACTTTAGTTCCACTTCGAATTCCCCCTTGAAGTCTGGTTTCTCCCCAGAGCAGCACAAGGCCACACGGTCAAGTTCCAGAGCGTGGTTGCGCCACAGCTCAGCTGTTTGGCTGCAAAACGCCGTTATGGTGAAATCACGCCTCGTTTGTGGGGAGCGGTTATTTGGCATCGCTCGTGTCTGCAGCTTAGCCCCCCGGCCAAACCGTAGGCATGTCTGAGCAGGGTCCCACCTCCCACCAAAGGCTGCAAAGCGAGACCTGCCTTTGTGGTCCCGCTTTGCAGCCTGCAGGCGTGTGAGCCCGGCTGGAGAGCTGTGGCTTTCACACAGGTGCCTCAGAGGGAGGAAAGAAACCGGGAGTGGGGAGAATAAAGCTTCGGCGCAGACGTGAACACCGTGTGGTCGGGTCACCCCAGGGCAGCACCATGCCGAGATCCGCTGGCCCCTTTGGTTTGGACTGCGCCAAGAGGTCAGGACAATGGCAGAGGTGTCGGCAGTCAGGCCCGCTCCAAAGCCCACAGCGGTTTCAAGGGGCTGTGTGCTTTTCAAAGCCAGTTAGAAGCCACACGGACACCGGACTGGGAGGCGGATCTGCTGCAAGAGGCAAACCGCATTTTGCATATGATGCTGGGCGACTGCCCAGCGCTACAAGGGAGTGTTTGCCAGAGGCCTTTAATCACTCTTTAAATTACGAGCCACACGCTTGGAGGAATAATGCCCTGATATAATGCTGTGACTGACGGGGGCGGGGGGGGAAGATGTCAGCGGTTTTAGACAAGTTAGTTATTTTTTTTTCAAGCACAAAATGTTTCTCTCTCTTTAAAAGTCTTTAGATCTCCTCCACTCCGTGTGCAAATATCATCACCAGTCCCGGCTCGAGCACCATGTCCTCCCCCATGTGCTGGTTCTCGCAGGCCATCACCACCACGGCCTGCTTGCCGGGGATGCGCTTGGCCACGTAGTTCTCATAATAGCGCCGGTTCATCTGGCGGGTTTCCAGGGTGGCCAGGCCCTGCGGCCAGTTCCGCTCATGGGCGTTCTCGATCAGCTCGTTGATGATGGACGTGGGGCACCCGCTTTCCATCAGTGAGCGCTTGATGACCGCCTGGAGGACGGCGTCCGGTGTGGAGATCATCCCGCCCCATCGCGTCACCCGGGCAGGCTGCAAGGAGTTCACCCACCTGTAAGACACCAAGACACCATGAGTAAAATACAGGGGCACCCAAGAGACAGCAAGTCCTAACAGGCACGCAGGGACTGCTCTGCCAGAGAACGAGACGGGCAAGACGGCCAAATCAAGGACTGTCAGAGGTTCTGCGGGGTCTACAGAATATAGAGCCAGCTTATAATGGTCTCCGAAAGGGCAGCGCCAAATAACTCAGGTGCCCCCTCTGGGCGAAATTGGGATGGATCCAGAAAACTCACCAGGTTTCCGTCGTAAAACCTAGTGAGAACGGATGTTAGAGCCAGCTGCTCCCTCGGGGCCGCTGGGGTTGTGCCCTCTTCTGGTGGAGAGAAGGGATGAGGCCGGGAGGAGACCGATGCAGTTAGAGATGATGCCCATGACAGAAAATCTGCCAGACTCAAGTAGCTAAAAGCAATGCTGGAGGGACATCGGGCTACCCCACAACTTCCTCGTACTAACGGCTTCAGAGGCTGAAGTCTGTCGATACAGAGCCCTTTGCCCCACGTCCCTGTTCTCCTCCTTTCTCCTTAAGTCAGAAGCCTCAGAGTTCTTCAGGAGCTTAATCACGGCCCCCTCCCTCACCCCCTCCTATCGAAATCCTTTGCCAGGCCGTAACTGCAATGTGGCGACGACTGAAAGTCCTCTCTCTGGTCCTCCCTATGTGAGCCAGCCAAACGTGTTCTGAAGGTCTTGCTCCAGAAAGTGAGGCCCCATCCCTGGCTTCCCGGCTACCTCCACAGCTACCCAAGATGGCCTTCAAAGTTCTTCATGGGCTTGCTTCCCTCCAGCCTCTCAGCTCCCCCAACTACGACCATTTAGCGTCTCGTCCCTGCCCAGGACAACGTTGAGCTCCCACTGCAGCAGATGCAGCGGGGAGAGAAGCTGCCATTTTCCAGCTTTCCAGGCACCTGAGGACGCTTCCATGCACCAGAACTCCAGTGAACCCCCGTGTCTGAGAACCCCAGAGTAAAGCCTCTCCCTGTGCTTTCGATGCCGTTTGATTAACTCCGGTGGAATTCGGTTTTCCTGAGCCGGGCTGAAACCACCCTTCCACCAGTTCCCATCTGTGCCAGTAGGGTGCAAGGATCAGCTCCGAAGCCATTTCTTCCCGCCCCGTTTTCCGGCGGGTCACTGGTTTCGAACTGGCTGCAGGTATAGAATTTTACAGCTGGTGGGACCCGTAACGTTAACAGGGCTGAGTCGCCCGACTTCGTTCTCTCTCGCAACGGCCTTAGCAATGTCCTGCTTGCTTTAAGATGATGGGTTTTCTTGTGGCTCCCTTCGCTCGGGCCTTAATCTGCTGGGGGGATTTAATGACCGTTCCCAAATCTCGCCAGCTGAGCCGACGCCCCGGTCCCCTGTGTCTGCCTCCCGAACACCTACTCACCCATTGTAACTGGGATCGTGCATTAGCCGCGGCACTTACTCTAGGATTTCGTTGTATTCAATGGTCTCTTCCAGGTTCTGCAGGTTGGGGTTGACGCTGCGGATGGCTCGCATGTAGGCCTTCAGCAGCTGGATGTCCCGTTTCTGCAAGAGGCAGGGCAAATGGAGAGATGTCTGCCACAGGCGGGAGGCCCTCACACGCACAGACCGGCCCTGCCCCCTTCTCGCAGGGATCTAGGGCTGGAAGGGTTTATGTTCAGCCCCACACGGGACGGCAGCGGGGGACCTGGCCGTCTCACTAACCCTTCGCTATTTTTCCTGCTCACTCTCTGCTTCCCAGCGGGGCTGCTTGGGGATCCTCAAAGCTCATGGAACAGACTGAGGTCAGAGTGGCTGGAGCACGAGCCGTCCTCCCCTGCGTCCGAACCTTGTGAGATCAGAGCGCAGAGCGTGACGCTCCCACTGGGCTAGGGGGGGACCGCATGGGACAAGGATTCCGATGCAGGACAACAGCCTGGAGCTGGGAGAGGAAGCTCCCACTCAAACAGACCCTGCACATAACGAAGGGAATGCTACAACGTAGTAGCCTACCAAGCCGCCTTTGGCTTTTAACCAGCAGATTCAGGTGTCCCGTATTTGTGCCAGGGAAGAGTCCACCCACCAAGAGAAGCTGTTAGCCTAGAAGGCCAGAGCGAACCAGAACCCCATCCCTGGACACCCACCTGCTCGGCTAGCTGATGCTTGTGCTCCGCTGAAGTCTTCTCCAGCTCAGCAATTCTCGTCTGCTGCTGCTGCACCACCGACCTTAAGTGCTTGATGCAGTTGTGAGTTGGCAGCTCGTCTTTGGGCATTTCCAAGCTGCAGGGGGAGAGAGAACGGACGGCGGGGGAGACAGAGCAGGCCAGGGTTCGGGATTAGCGAGGAGCGGCAGCACCCACCCGGCTCCCACCACAAACTCAGAAGTTTGGGGGACTCGCAGCGCGAGGTAAGAGTAGCCCCACTTCTAATTAACCACAGACGTTTGGGATGGGATCTTAAGATGATCTAACCATTGGGGATCAGGATGAGGTCAGGGGGAGGGGGGGTCCCACATCTGCCCACTGCAGGGTTCTTTCACTCTCCTCTGAACGTCTGGTGCTGGCCACCGCTGGAGACAAGGCCCTGGAGTAGCTGGACCCGACTCACCTCCAGGTCAGCCGGGATCACTAGCCCCACCTGACTGGCCAGCCAGTGGTCTGAGCACAGCTCATGCATCATAATACCCAGCCAACAGCTGGGCTGCCTGGGCAGCGGCCTCACAGAGACACCAAGGCCGGAGACCGGACGCCCAGCTCCAGCCGACCCGGGGGAAGTGGGCGTGGGTAGGAGGCGCTGCTCTTGCTACGCCTTGTTCCGTGGATAAGAGCTTCCATGTCTCACTGACTTCGGTTCCTAACTGCCACCTGGACCGAAGGAACGTCTCCCCCGGTCTCCAGGCCTGGAAATCCAGGGCACATAAAGCGAAGTTGGAAGGAGAGCAAGACACCAGCGGGCTCAGAGGCTGAGCTGTGACTTGCCCCTGTGCAGCACCGTTGGCATTTACCCAGCCCTGTGCGCAGATCAGCCTTCTCCCCAGCTCCCAGCAGCCCAGCTCTGTCGCTGCCTCGCGGGAGGCTACAACTCCTGGCCTCACCCCCAGCAGCAGGGCCCCCCCCTTCTCTCCGCTCCCCTTCAGCCCCAGGAAACAATCCGGCAAGAACAATCCTCACCCGCATCCTTGCTCGCACGTCACCGGCCGCTTTGGATTATGCTCACAGTCATTGAGGTGAGACATCAGGTTGTCGAGTCGCACGACCGCCGTGCAGCCGAAAACCGCGTTGTCGCAGGTGATCTGCAGCTTGGAGAGCATGTTCCGCATGATCCGGGGCACGGGGCGGAGGTGGGCCACAGTGACTACGCTGCGGTCCACGGGGCAGGTCTGCTGCTGGGAGAACCACTGGGTGATGCAGGCATTGCAGAAGGCGTGTTCACAGTGAGGGGCCTGCAGAGGGAACGAAACGCAGGACGCAGTGACTCCCCCCGACCCCCAGCCTCATGCTCATCCCGCAAAGCCCAGGGCAGATGGGCAAAGCCAGCACCTTTCACCTGGCCTGCAAACATAGCTCATCCCGCCTCTCACCCCCCATCCATACCCAGTGCTGGCAAAGCCCCGAACACAGCACGAGGGCGTCACGCATTCCTCTGCCCTCCCCACTAGATGCTGCCGCCTCTTTAAACGCAGGGTTGACTGGCCACGAAGGGTTGGCGTGCTAAACGGAGCCTTTTCCGGAGCAGATTTGAATGGTACTTCACTGTCTTTACCCAGCTGGGCATTACAAGGACTGCAGCAGGAAGGCGAAGGCTGCAACTGGGCTGACGTTACAGTTATAAAAGCGTTACGTTTGAGGGCGAGCAACACATCAGCTCTTCCTCAGCGATCCGGCCGATCTCCTTTGGGAAAGCAGAACTCCAGAGCTACAAGTCCACACAAGGGTGGGTCAGACACTCAAGGGTTAAACCTGTCCAAAAGCTGCAAGACACTGGGCGCGGGGGGAGGGGGGAAGAGTCCAGCAAGCCCTGAAGTACCAGTGGGCAGAACGCTTGGGGCCCATTTGACAGCATCGTTAGTAACATTTCCATAAGTGCCCTTCAGTGACGGCTCTAGATCCGTTAGACGCCCCGACCCACTGGCCTCGCCACCTTGGAACCGAAGGCAGCTAGAAGACAACAAAGCGAGTGCAGGGTAGAACCGACTACTTTCCAGCACTGTCTCATGGGGCTCGCCAGGGCGGCCCAGGGCAGGAGGAAGGGGCGGTTTGCCCCTGAATCGAGTGGTTTTGTGGGCTCGCAGCCCCACGCAGGTTTGGCCTGGCCCCCCCCCCAGGGAGGGGAGCTGGCCCCCCCCAGGGAGGGGAGCTGGCCCCAGCCCCTCTCCCCTCAGTAGTAGTTTTTTGGGGGGAAGGGAGAGGGGTTCCAGATTTTACTCTGGGTGGCCTGGTGGCTTTGGTTCCTCTTCATGATCTATTTGCTCTGTTGGTCTTCACACCCGCCTAGGTCACTGCCCCCTTCCCGAGTCCCTGCTCTCGCCCTGGGTCAACACCGGGTCTCGCTGCAGCGCACGAGAGAGAACCAGCTCTCCGGGCCAGCGCCCCCCCGGCTGAAATATTTCCCATCAACTCTGCTAACTCCTCCCACCACCGGGAAATAGATGGACACGAGCCAGAGCAGAACCCAAAGCACACTGGGGAGTCGGCTCCCGGCGCTCTGCACCGGAACGTTTGGTTGCCAGGGTTGGAGCCGTTACCAGGGAGCCCCTGTTCCAGGGCGACACCGGGCTGGCCAGGATCCCGTTTACACACTCGTGTCGCTAGGAGCTTTCCAGGAGGGCTTCTCCAACCACAGCAAACCGATTTCTTTCCCCCCTGGAAATGGCGCTAGCCAAGCTGTGCCATACTGCGCTCCTCCTCCAAGCATACGAATGGCCCCTTGCCAGCAAGGGCAAGGATGCGAACACGGAGGTGCCAGATAACACGACCGGGACGCTCCCTGAGCGGCAGGGCACGACAAGTCCAGATTCCTGAATTGACTCTGTGCAGTGCAGACTTGCTGGGTGGCCTTGGACAAGACGGTTCATTTCGGTGCCATAAGGCATCCCCAGCTGTAGAGCCGGTCTAGTGCTGTACTTGGCCACCACACGAGAGGGGTCCGGAAGATTAGAAGTCTCGTCTTCAGGACGGATTGAGAAATCACAGAGCCCACTGACGTCCACGGGAGCGGCGGGCGGCTCTTGGAAAGGAAATCAGGGGCCAAGCTGGATCAAGTTCGGATTGTTAAAAACGGCTTTTATGTCGAACATTTACCAAATTCCAATCCAGTTTTAACGTGTTGCTAGTTCTTTACTTTCTCCCCACTGGGCAGTCTGAAATTGCCAACGCGGAGGTGTGAATGAGGGTCAGAGCTGTTACCTGACTTGCAGATTTCACCTCCATTTATTTTCTGCCAAGAAGTTCACATTTTTAGGCCCCTCTCTGCAGCAAGAGATCATTCGGGAGCTTCATGAACACCCCAAACTCGGGCACAGATACGTGAACAGCTGGTGCTGGGTCTGCAACAACAGCACCTTCCCACAGATCAAACTTCCACATGCCAAGAAAGGTGAATGCTTCTGCTAGACTACGCTCCTCCACCAGGGAATGCAGCTTGAAGTCAATGGGACTTGAACGCTTAGGTCACTTCGGAGCCTAAATACCTTTAAACATCTGGCCTTTACGCTTTGAAAATCTCACCCTTTGGACGTTAACTTCAGGCTATTTTTGAACATTTTGCTGTGTATGAACATTCATAACGTCAAGAATATATTGAAAGGTTAAATAACTTTTCACTGTTAACACTGAAAATCGTTTTGAAGGGACAGACGTCATGCCATTAAGGGAACAGTTGTTAACAGTTTTTGCATCTGTTGCGACAAACACTGAGGCACACAATGTTTGCAGGGTCAGAGACTCACATTTCCAGTATTTTGTTGTTTTGCTTGTAGTAGTTTTGTAAAATTCAATAGCCTCCTAGTTGTGACATTTAAAATCCAGCCTTTATAATTTAGTTCATTATAAAGCGTTACGCTAAACGTACAACGGGTGCACGTTTTTAAGTTAGCATCAACCGGATTTAAATCACCATGTTTTATTTTAAATTGGGAATTTACGTCAGTGGTTTAAACTTGCCTGGATTTACATCACTCCAGCCCATCGAGAAACCCACTAACTCGTGTTCAGGGAGCTTCTGAGCAAATGGAAGTTGTTAGAAGTGCAACGTTTACTGCCTTACCACGTGGTTATCCCCTGTATCCTCTCGTCCTTCCTCTTAATTGCACAACACCAATTTGGAGAAAAATGCAGTGACTGTGTCTGTCACTGATGCAAGATCTGTCGAGAACAAACGACACCACCCTCCCACGGTCACAGTAAATTGTTTACTAGTGAGGCGAGCTTCAGATTTCATTTTTGCCGAGCACAGACAGCTTAGCAAGCCGCAAAACACTTCAGCCAGCAAAGCGTCGTGCTTTACACTTTGCCCACAACTTACTGGCACCGCAGTCACTGTGGACCACGAGTCCCAGCTGAATGTCCCCTTGTCGCTCAACTTTCCATTAGCCGCACTGCCGTGCGTTTGTTCGCGGCAAAGTTGTGTGTTACTGTCACTCACGCTCTAACGGGCCTTGTAAAATAAATCGTTCCATCACTCAAGTTGCTCAGAGCAGGCCCCAGCCGTGCAGTTCTTTGCCAGAGTCCCTGCGATCCCTCAGACCCTACGGTGGTTATCTGGCAATTTCAGGAATTTTTCACCAGCCCCAAAAATGCTCAAGGGGGGGTCACAGATCAAACCCTAAATCCTCTTGTGTCCCTGCACGGGTGACAATGCAAATAAAGGGCAGGGAAAGAATCCACTTCCGAAAGGGAACAGCACGTCTGCCACAGTCGGGCGTAAGGACACGGGGACCTCAGGAAGGGCCTGGGGTCTGAAAATCTTTGTGCACAGGGACTGTGTGATAACACACCGTCAGTACTGCCGGGATCCTGCTTAGGCACAGACTGACTCTGAACCGGCTTTAACAAGCTGGGGAACGGGTAGCGCCCCCCCCCCCACCCGTAAGAGACAGCTGCTAAGAGCTCTAATGAAATCTATCCCAGCCCTGGGGACAAGTCTCAGCCTTCGTGCCCACAGTTAGACCACCCCCGCGAACACTAAAGCTCTTCCCAGTCGGGATTTCCCGCGGCGCATGTTACGCAAGGAGCAGTCAGGGTCACAGTATTCCCAGCCTCCCTCCTTGAATGATTCCCCCCTTCCCGGACCCAGCAATCTTCTCCAAACGCAGAGCGACAGCTCGCAGCAAGAGCAGGTCTGTAAATATCACCTCTGCTGGGCCTCGGGCTCCACACAGTAACGGCAGCCCCCAGCGCGCCACCCGCCGGACCGAACCCAGAGCAGCCCACCCGCTGGACCGCTCTGTCCACTGGCGAGCAATGCAGCTTCACCGGCATTTCAGAGGAACGCTCCCAAGACGGGCGGGGGAGCCAAAAATCACCGCTACCCACAGCTAAAGTCTGAAAGAGGCGCTCCGGCTGACTAGACTACCTATTGCTTCTGCTGCCGGTCTGGCTCGGTGCGAGCGACTCCCGCGTCTGGATTGTGCGCGTGTGTGGGGGTGGTGGGAGAAGACAGCTCTGAACATACTGAGCTATTAACAACGTGCCAAAGGATCGCAATGTTCACAATTTGGATCCCCTCCGCTTTCCTGGGTTGAACACTTGCGCCTAACAGGTGGCAGGGAGGAGGGCAGGGGGAAAGGAGAATCAGCAAGCCTGAAATCTTGCTGCTGCTAGAAAAGAACGGGCGTCAGATACCCTCCAGGAATGGCAATTCCCCAGATGTCGTGGGTCCCACTGGAGACGCACAAGCACCTCACGCATGCGAGGTCAGAGTTGTTTTTTAACAGGAGCGTCGCTTGGGGCAGTGCATGCACCCAGACCTCCGCGTGCGCCCATAGCCAGGCAGAAAGGAGAAAAGTCCCTCACGATTCAAAGCCCCGAGTGCTAAGGGCACCGAAGAGCCAGGGTGGAGGGCAGGTGATGGGATCCACACGGGCTCCAGCATCTCCAAGAGCCACAGTTCCTGCCAGGAATGTAAATGTTCTCTCCCCTCTTCGAGTATGGGTCAGTCTGGAGCCCACACTAGGTGCCTGGTGGGCCGTATCCTCCTGGGACAGCGGGGGGGAGAGTTTCAGCTGCATCAGTCAAAGAGGGAGTGGAGCCCGGCTCTCCCCAATGGATCATCACACCTGGCAGCCAGGTCAAGGCAGAATGTTTAATGAACGTTGGTGGCTGCCTGGCAGCCTTCAGGCTGGCACGTTCCCAAAGCAGGCGGAAGATGGTGCCTGTGCCCCGGGGGAGCACGCTTCAAAGTGCGGCGGGAGAGACCTCCCAGCCTGCTGATAGTAAGTGGCAATACAAGGAGATCCACTCAGCGAGTCTCTGCGCAGGATACGCCCCGAAGAGCTGGGGGAAAGGCGATCAGCTCAGTCCTGTGGAGGCATTCGAGCAAGGACCGGGAGCACGCAGCTTCTCTTCCGCTGGCACGGAGCAAGACTTCGGGAAGAAGGCTGGTTTGGTGACCAGTTGGTTCAGGGGGAGTTCTGAGAAGCCGGGGTGAACCCGAGCCCTAAGAACACACTGCATGCAAAATCGCCCGGAGAAGCCATCAAATGCCAACGCGCACGTCAGCTCCGGAGCATCTGGTAGGTCTCAGACACCTGCGGAGGTCGGGCAGTCGCATTTTAAAAGCGATGCTTGAAATAGCCGGTATGGTCATATACTAGCAGCTTCCAGCAGGTTCCCACCAGTACTTGTTAGATCCCAGCAATTTACCCCTGGCTTGGCGGATTTGGGCAGCGATCTGAAGGGTCGGAGCTGGACGTGGACAGTAAACGGCTCTTTTCACACACGCAGGGCTGGGCATTTAACATCCACTCGCCCTCACTACAGCGGAGATAAACCGTAGTCCGGAATCTCCCCCGGAAACCTCTCCGAGCACGAGAGCGGAAAGGAAGTGGCCGCTGCTCTTTTCAGCACCTACCTGCACCGGCTCCTCCAGGACTCCGCTGCAGATGGGGCATATAAGGTCTTCGTCCACATCCCCCTGAAAGCGGGCTACATCATACCCCATTGCTCATCACCGTCGCCAGAACCCTGGAAAGAGAGAAGGCAGGAGATCAGGGGCAGGCAGAGAACGGCGGGGATCACACCGGAGGAAAGCCGGGCAGACTCTGAAGGCAGAGCCTGATTTGGGAGTTTAAAGTCCCTCTTTGCAATGCTGAGAGTTGGAAACAGACCTGAGCCTGCGGCATGCTAAGCCAGGGGCTCGCAGACCCGCTCCAAGCCCTTACACAACAGGGTGTGGTGCAGTGTTCTCAGCCCCACTTCCATGCATTGAGTCGCTCCTCAGTTCTGCTCTCCTGCTAGCACCAACTGCACACTTCCCTCCCCCCCCAGGCATTACTCATCCCTCGGCACTTGCCGTTTGCCTATCTTGCTGCTTTTGTGCTCGCGACAGAAGGATGTGTGACAAGGCAGAGGGGGTGCCGAGCGCCCAGGACACGATGGACACATAGAGGGAACATTGGCCCACTGGAGCAAGCATCAGACATGCTCAGACCACTGGGAGTCTAGCTCCGGGCTCTGCCACTGACACAGGGTGATCTTGGGCAAGTCACTTTGCCTCTCTCTGCCTCTGTAGGCTCTGTCAGTCCCTGGGAAGGTCTCTGAACCGTGCCTGGCACAATGAGCCGGCAAACTCAGGCGGGGTCTCGAGACTAGCACGGTGCCACTGCAGCACATGCCCCTGGGCCACTGCCGGCTACAGGAACTGCGTCTGGAAATCCTCACAGCGAGACCCCGGCTGGGTACCTTTCTGAATGGGATCTCTGCGGTCGCAGGGGACTGGCCCGGATGACCCAGGAGGGGCCCTTCCAGGCCTGACCCTAGCCCTAATTTCTCAGGTTTGCTCCCCCACAGAACTGCATCCTGATCATCCTCTGCAACGCACGGATTCCCTTTGTCCACCAGCGGACTCCCACGCAGGGCACAAGAGACACGACAGCAACCAGCACTCAGGGAGCCGTGTCTCCATCACTGGTTAAAGTGCGGCTTCTCCTCTGGCAAGCCTTCTCAGCAGGGAGCATGCCACCCCCTGTCTGCGGTTCGCTGCTCCCTGTGCCCAGAAGAGCCGGGTGGAGATGGGGATTCAGTTCACCCAGGAGCCCTGTATCGTCGGGGGTACAGGAACTGCACTGCCAGTGGGCTGTGACAGTTATTCCCATGGTCCTACAGCTCTGCTCCTAAGCCAGGATTTGAGAAATGGATCCATTGATCCCAGTCCTGTAAAACTCCAGGTGCTGCTCTAATTCCAGGCATCTCAGTGAGTCACTTACACATCCTCAAGGCACAGCACTGTTAGAGCCGCACGGAATTCACCAGGGCCGGGCTTTTCTACACACGCCAGGCGTGCGGGAACATTAGAGGAAGGCTGTGGAGATGATGTAGCATGATCACAACCAACATCAAAATGTTTCAGAGGCGGGACTGGCCTGAGTCACGTGACATCATCCACCCCTCAGGGGAACCCGCTCTACTTAGCCGCTAAGCTCTTCACATCAGGGCCTGGGGTGTCAGCATAGTGCCCAGGGAGGTGGGGCCCTGACCTCGTTTGGGTCTGTAGTTACTATCACAGTACACATAGGTAAAGAGCCAGGAGTACCCAGGTACCTCATGAAGTTCCTGCATTTACCCGCAACCTTCTACAAGCCCCTACACTGGGACCAAGGTCCTTTCCCGGGCCTCGCCGACGGATCCCGCAGGAAACTGGTAACCCCACTCACATCTCCAGGGTATCGGAGCCGCTGGCAATGATGGGCTAAAAGGTCTCCCCCATTTCTTACGGGGGATCTTCCTAGACTAAAAGTTGCTATGGAGGAGACATAAGGCTCCTAACCCTTGAACTAGGAAGTCAGCACATGGCCTGCGATTGGAGCTGCTCCTCTCTCCGCTCCATAAGCCAACCAGTAAGGGGGGGTGATTATGACATCAAAAAGGTAAGCCAGCCAGTCGCCACCTACCCCGTCACTCATTTGAAAGCTATCATCCTATTGGTGCAAATACCCCCAAAACTCTTAACAGCGTTAAACGCATTTGAGTTTTGTCCCAGTCCCTGAACTAACGCATCACAATCCAGTCGCCTGGCATCCGTTCACTCAGCAACTAGCGATGGCCCAGGAACGCTAGGTCAGCCCCAGAGACAGTCTGGGATAGCAACAGAGGTCTCAGCTCCCCCAAAAGCCAAACAGAGCCCTGGAAAGCAAAGCTGCCCATCTTTGGGTCTGCAGTAACACCAAGAGTACAAAGAAGATCTCTGTGGTAACCATGGTGCGTTTTCCAAGCAAGACAGCGCTCCACCCCACCCCCCAGGAAAAGTCACGTACGGAGAGAGAGGTTTCCATTAACAGAAGGGAGATTAACATCTTTTTAAGGGTTTTAACCAGAAAACATTTGGCATGTTGCATGGAGGTATAGTGTGGAAATGAACCGTGGACAAGGCATACGTTCACGTGTCTTTGCCACAGCACGTCTCCCCTCTGGATCCCAGTGAACTAAGCCTTCTGCCGGGTTAAAATTGCTTTGGGACTATCTACGGACAGATTTCCTGTGTGTCCCCTCAATATCCACTGGCTCGGAGGGCCCACTCAACTCTACCGATGCAGACCCCCGAGTCACTTGAAGGCCAGAGGACAAAGCTCTCCACACGTCTTCTGTCCCACCCAATTCATTTTCCCCACTTTCATAACAGCAGTTCTAGGGTTTCACACCAGCCTTGTGCAGCTGCCCACCAAGAAACGCCAGGCGAGATTTCCGCACTAGATCCATGCACCATTAAAGGTGCACGCTGAACGCTCACACGAGAAACGTTTGCTAGGATGGACGCGTCATTTCTCTGTCTCAGCGCTTCAGAGCGCACTTCCTATTCTTTACTTGTGATCTGTATGGGGCTTTAAAAGGCAGTTACGTGCCCGGATTACATTCAATATGGACAACATGCAAACGAGGAACAGGGCTTTAGAAAGAACAGAAAGCAGCAGGACTGAGCAGCGAAGTGTATTGCGAGTCTGAGCGGCGCAAAATCATTCTGGCTGGGAAAAAAACCAAAATCCATCTAGTCTCCAGATGTCTGGGGTCCAAAATAACCGTGCTCTGTATGGCTAGAGTCTATAACCAATGGCTTGAGCAACATGGCAACAGGGAACATTCAGAGTTGTCCATTAGTTGGCTGATTGAGTATCAGAACCAGACCCCAGGCATTGAATATGTAAAATTCTACCCGAAAAAACCTGGGGGACGCCGCAGGACAGCCTTGCTCTGGAGTGACTGTTTAAGTACGGAGCATCGGTTTCTACAAGTTACCACTCTGGGTTTTTATAAACAGTCTTAATTTGCTAGATCCTTGCACAGCAGGGATAGCAGCAGCACACAACAGCCAGTAACTGTAGAGTAAATAGAACTTCGGTCAAAGCAGTATCAAGGCCAAGCGAAGATCAGAGAGGTAGAAGAGAACCATTCGGGTCCATTCCCTGCAAAGCCGAGAGACACACCCCTGCCTTTGAAAACCCCCAGTCTAATTCCCCTTTAGCGGCTTTGAAAATCCCAGCTGTGACGCTCGAGTATAGACCCTTAGGCAGAGAGAAGAGACACTAGACATGCGGTGCCCCGATGAAGGCCTTCGACGGCTTGTTTTACAGCCAGAGGGGAGAGACGATGGATGGGATGAAACAGACAACCTAAAAAAGGCCTAACAAGTCCTGGTCTGCTATGAGCTGGAAGTGAAGCAATTTAGCTCACTAACGACTGCAGGCTACAAACACGCTTTGGGCTAAACACAGAACATGCAAAGTCACGGCAGCTCCTTCTTTAGAAGCCACCTGAGGTCGAGCTCAGCATCCTCCTCGTGTGGGAAATAACCCTCCCAAATGGGAAATGCAAAGCAGGGTGGGGAAAGCAAAGACCCGGTGAGCCCTGAGTTAAACCCCTCACGTAGCGGCTCCAGCAGGCCGAGGACAACAGAACTTCGCTAACGGCACAAGACCACACGCTAGCTGACACCTCGACTTTGGGACCTGTCAAGTTGAATCTGGTGAGGAAGTTATTCCCCCTGTCCCCTGTGACGGCAGATACACGCAGCTGGTGGATTTACTGAGTCAGTTTCAGATGCAAGAGACGAGTTGATAATGGGAGCCAGAACTTGTTGGACCAATCTCCTAAATCAAACTTAATTACGGCCTGTGCTGGACGTCTCGGATTTCCAGCTTTGCCTAGGTTCCCAGAAAACAGACACCCTCTTTTCATTACAGCCAATACGAGGTCTGCCAACAGCACTGCAGCTGGGTGAGCCTGGCGGAAACCTCTTCGGTAAGCAATGTTATTTGTATAATCTTCCCAATTTCAGAAGCCCTGGGGGCCAGAAAAGTAACTTGAAACCAAAGGGAAAACAAGGCGGCCACAAGAGGGAGTGTCTCTTGTAGTTAAAGCCCAGGACAGGGGCCAGAACTCCAGGGCTCTATTCCCAGCTCTACCACTGACTCACCTTGTGATCTTGGGCAGGACCCTTGTGCCTCGGTTTCCCCATCTTTAAAGTATGTACGATACATGAACATCTCTGGGGGGGGGATTCTGAAGTGTTCAGAGCTCTCTGAGAGCTTCCAATGAAAGGCGAAAGCAAGGACGTGGCAGTACTGCACTTCTGCATCTGCGTGTGATCCCTGTAGCTTCAGCCAGCTGGAGGAAGCAAAGTCTAGTGGTCAGACCGGGAATGGTCAGAAAAGGGGAGTCCAGAGTTCTCTTCCTAAGAGGCAAAGAAAAGTAACAGGCATTCGACACGTGGAGGAGAAGCACTGGGGCAGCTAGGAGTATGTGTCACGGCTGCTTAAGCTAGTCCAGGACCAAGACAGATGAATTCTGAGGGAATCACCCAGCTGGTGCTTAGAGGGGGTCGTTTACAGGCGTTGCAATGCTAGAAACAGTCCCCCGGGAGCCTCTGCTGCAGTCTTCTCTTTATCGACTAGGGGGAGAGCCGGTTTGGGGAGGGGGCAGCCCCAGCCACACAGACACGGCTCTGGACTGATGAGCAGATTGTTTAGGAGAAGATGGGAGAGACCGATAGTGACTGAATCGAAGGCCTTGTGAACACTTAAGTTTTGCAGCTTTGGATCCAGGCCAGCAGAAGCCCCGGTGCACACGGTCATACCAGCAGAGCAGTGCGGCCGAGCTCGAGGAACTATCCCGCACCAGTATAACGACACCTACGCTAAGAGTTCCACTGGCAAAGCCAGGTCAGTAAACACAAAACAATTCCCCATTGTCATAGTTACGCTGGTAAAACATGAAGCGCAGACCAAGTGCGAGAGAAGAAATGAGTTGCTTAGCCATGGACGGAGCCCAAGTGCTCCAGCCTGCCACGAGTTTCTGACATGCAACATTTCTGCTCCTCTAACCCCGCTGTCTTCACGGCACCTGGCTGCTCTGGGCACAAAGTCTCATCCGCCACAGCTTCCTCTCTGCCGCCTCGCTTCACCGAATCCCAGCCGAGTGGAAACCACCCAGTGGAATCGGTACAGCCGAGAGAGAGGATGACCCCACGGCTCTGGGGCGGGGCTCCAACAACGACCTTTCGCTCTCCCAGCGCGCCTCTCCAGCACAAAGCAGACACGGCTGCTCACCGACAGCAGCGTGACCCGTTCTGAAGCGGACGATTAACGGCAGCGACATTGAAGCAGAACGTAAAGCAGCTAGAACGCCATCTGCATGACCTAGCTGGCCAGCGACCTCGTTTGAACAGTGCAATGCAGGGGACAGAAACCGCATGTGAGCTGAGGTCGTTTCGACAGAGCGTGGCGAGGTGGTGGAAGGACACACTCCGACAGCACAAAGTTTCCCATGAGCTGGAAACCACAGGCACTTGCCACCTCTCTGCTCAGATGAAAATCTGAAACCCTTCCGCGACGAAGGGGGGAGAGAATTTATTATGCAAAACGCACCTCGGCGCCCATGTGAGAGGCACGAACATCGAGGGGTAAACGATCAAAGCAAGACTGAGTTTTGGCCCCACGTCTCCCACGGCGGTTGTGCAGCTGAACTGCTCTGCAGAGAGGAGACGGTTACTCCGGCCTCGCGTGGAAGGTGGACAACAGCATGTTCTGGAGGGACTAAAACGAAAGCCTGAGGTTTCGATGTGGTTCTAAGGCGTGCACGCACCCCGGGGACACGGCGCTCCCACCTACAGCTTCCTCCTGAGTGAGGCTATTTCGATTCTTTTGGGGATTTTATTAAGTCTCCTACCTGGGCAGCGGATGGGGCCTGTTTTGTTGGTAGCTGGAGCCTTTATTCATGTGCCAGATTTTCCAGGTCAATCGGTTACTGTTTCCAGTGTAGCGTTACCCTTAGCGGCTGTAGGTGCTTAATGTGGCTTCCACCACACGGAGAATGTGGGTTTGACGGTCAGACCTGGGAATGCAGAGTTGTGTTTTTAAGAGGCCAAAGCTCGTACTAAGACAGTTTTGTTGAGGAGTTGTGTCTGATCTACACTTAGCCAGGGTGGATGTGGGGGACGAAGCACTGACAGACTCAATTACTTAGCAGAGATGGGGGCTGAGGCCTTCACTTCACTGCTGAAAAGGTGCATTTTTTACCAGTGGGTAACTAACGTTTGAGAGCTACCCTAAGGGGGAACACCCAGCGAAGAGAAGGCACTTTCGTTTTACTGAGGTGAACAGCGCGAGGGCAGTGCCAGGCAGAGGTCAGCACTATGCCCCACCTCGCTGACCTGAAGTGCCTTCTCTTCACAGTGTTTTACCCCAGAATAGCTCACACATATTACCCTGAGGCTAAAAAACCCACCTGTTGGTTTTAGCAGTGAAGACAAAGCCTAGTTAACTCCACTCCAAGAGGTAAAGAAAGATCAGAGACAGGAACACAACTTCGACAAAACCTGAGATATGCAGGATTGTTCTAGCCCTGTTCTTTCAGTCCCCATCTCTGCTAATGAACTAAGTTCTTTCAAAAAAAACCTAGATAAGTTTATAGAGGATAGGTCCATCAATGGCTATTAGCCAGGGACGGTGTCCCTAGCCTCTGTTTGCCAGAGCTAGGAATGGGCAACAGGGGATGGATCCCTTGATGATTTCCTGCTCTGTTCATACTCGCTGGGACATCTGGCATTGGCCACTGTTGGAGGACAGGACACTGGGCTAGATGGACCTTTGGTCTGACCCAATCTAGCCGTTCTTATGTTCGTCCCAGGATCTTAGAGAGACATGGTGGGTGAGGAAGTATCTTTGATTGGACCAACTTCTGTTGGCATGAGACACAAGCTTTTGAGCTTACACAGAGCTCTTCTGCAAGTCTGGCTGCTCTAATAAGAGACATGACCTCACCCACCCTGTCTCACTAAAACCTGGGATGAAATCTGTGCCACAACCAAGGATAATTTGGGGTACTTTATTTCCTTGCTTCTTATGACCTGGAGTGGCCAAACAAAACTAAAGTCTGGGCTTGAAAGCAGCCAACAGTGAAGAATGCCACCTGGCCGGTAGAGCTGGTAAAGACGCTTATTTCCATGCCAGTAACGGACAGGAGAGGGACACATTTTTGACTGAAATTCAGAGGGTTTAAGAAATTATATCCTTGAAACTTTGCAAGAGTCTTTTTTTTTTATAAAGTAAGATTTTCCCACTAATTTGCCCCAGTGATTTAGAGAGAAAGACAGCAACAGCACAAGGCTCTTCACTGATTAACCTTCCTGTGGCCCAAGACAACTGTCCCTTTGACTGCTCCAACGCTAGCGTGACTAGGGACAGAGCTGTTCAACCATAAGCTTCAACTCAGAGGCAGCAGTTGTCTTTTCAGAGCAAGAAATTGAACAGAAACTCAAATGTGCACTGAGTTGAGTGGTTATCAAAGAACTCACCCACGCGGCATTAGTACAAAATGCCTTTGATTGCACTCGTCTGCATCCAGGAAGTCTGCTAGCAATTTCAAACAATGTGGGCTCCACTCAGAGGGAAAATTCAGGAATGAAAAGGTTTAACTCAGTAACAGCATTTGTAGTTTTATACACGTGTTTAGCCAGCAATTCTCTATAGAGCCCAACACTGCGATATTTAGGCGCTGACGCATTCACGCCAATATGTGCGCCCCACGTGTGACAGTAACGTGGCTCGTGGCAATAATCGTTCGGGAAGGCATTCAAACCATAACCCACCAGATCGATCTCATTTGACATCAGTTACAGGAGGATTATGGGAACTGTAGTTTAAATTATTTAATAAGAATCTACTGTTTTCTTTACTCTTCTCACTAATCCCTAGTGAGCCACCACCATCACCAGCAGTTGTTGCCCTAACATACTTACTTTGAAGCACTGGTGAGGAATTAATCCCACCTCTGAATTTGTTCGTTTACATCAGACTAGGAAACCATTCGATCAGGTTTCTGTTGATCAGCGCCGTCCCTCCCACATGCATGAGGAAACCTTGTAGTTTGAGGCACCAACTCCACTATTAAAACCCTCGTTCTAAGTCAGTTTACCCCCATCAGACAAAGACTTCCTAAATTAACGACCCCCAGCAGTAATCTGCAGAGAGTTCAGTGCACAGTATTTGCTGCACAAGACCCCAAGGTGCACTCTGCAGCAAATCGTGACAAGGAATTAGCTGCTCCGGAAATTATTCTGGGGACGTCCCATGACCTGCGTCACGCAGGAAGTCAGACTAGATGACCACAACGATCTCTTCTGGCCTTGAAATCTAAGTCCTCGACAGCCACTGCGAGAACTTTTCATCTAACCAAGTGAACACAAGGCCGAGAGCCAGGAATGCACCAGTTCTGAATCTGCTATTGACTCACTGCAGAGTCCTGGGCAAGTCACTTCACCACTCGACAGCTCAGCTTTCCGATCGGTAAGGTGACTTCTCACAGGCATGACGCGAGGATCGGAAGATGGGTCTGCACTGCAGAGAGTTACCCCTGCACCCATGTTACCTAGCCCCGCCGTGAGCAGCCACACCGCGAAGCCATAGAATACTGCGTCCTCACTGGGTCTCTGTAGCCTAGTAACTTGAGCCACTCTGATCCTTTCCCAGGGAACTGTGAAAGGACTTGTCTGTCCTTCTGGGCGCGTATGGGGAATTGTGGGAAGGCACTGGAGGACTCTCAGCACTCAAGGATTCAGACTGCAAAGTGGGCAGGTTACCAGCCTGAGCGATAGCCTGCACCCACAGCCAGCCCGCTAGCCGGGGCCGAAGGCACCACTGAACTCGGGGGGAAGGGGGTTAAGGGCAATGCCCCGGTAAGAGCCCAGGGTAACTCTCCAGTGAAGACATACCCTGAGTCTTTACACAGCACTTTAGGGACCTAAAACATGAGGCATGCTAGCATGACACGATCCATGTATTATTCATCCATTCGCAGCACAGTACAAGAGTATACGAGGGTAGCCCCTGCCCAGAAGGGCTTGCAATCGAAAGGCCTTAGCAATGGCTTTAATGGGAGCTGGACGGGGTCCTAAAGAACAGGGGAGACTGGGAATAGAGTTCGCCACCAAAATAAGTTACATAAAGGTTAAAGCAAAAACACTTTGACAAGCCTCCTCCAGGAGGTTGGAAGCAACCTGGCTCACCGTCCACCCAGTCACGCAACGCCTCAGACCGTGAAGCAGAGACGTGAAAGCACAATCCGTGCAGCTTCCCAGAAAATCTAACTTAGAGGTGTGTCGATTGCGGAGCTGCTACAGAACGGGGAAGAAACGCCCCGCCCACCTGCGAGGGGGGAAATGTTCGGACTTCTCTAGAGAGGGATTCTCACTGAAATGAACACACAATTGAATGAGGCACTTATACAAACCCATTCTTGAAAGCAGACACCCTCCATGGTTTAAAAATCCACTTCCATTATACCCACTTCTTAGACCAATTGAAACCAAAGAGCCACAGGACACAATGAAGTATGTATCAATAGCATTGTTAAAGGCAAAAATGCATTTGCAAATACCAGTGGTTTCTCTTATTTAGGGCTTTTCATCCTTAGATCTCAAAGCGCTTTCAGAAAGTGGTCAGTATCATGAGAAAACCAGAGTTAAAGATCAGGTATGTGACTATTTAGGATGGTATATGAAAGATTTAAGGCACCCAAAGGTACTTACCCATAAAGCATTTCTGCTCGAGTGGGAAAATATGCTTAATCAGGATGTTTGAACACACAGACCAGACATGCTGCCTCCTGTGAATGACCGCGATCGTGATCTGTGCATTTCTGCAGCCCGAGCACATTACTGGTTACTTCCTGAGAAAAAGCACCACTTAATTATTTTCCAAAACACCGTGGTCCCAAAACCGGCCTTCATCACACCCAAGTGAATGAACGTTTCTGACATGAACCCGGACTCCAGCCTCGATGGCTTATGCAGTGGCTTTTGTTAAAACACAGATTCAGTGCTGGTGATTGACTGAGAGTCCCGTGGACTCCAGTTTTCCATGCTGGAGGGACAGTGGCCAGGAATGTGCTTCTGGCATGCCCCGGAGCCCCACCTCCAGAGTCTGGAGAATAGTTCAGTCTCCGTGTCCCATTTAACTCTTTGGCCTCTCTGATGCCGCTTCCAGTTATGGGCCGATTAGCGGCAAGTGTGTTTGCGAGGCGCACAGCTGTCTCCAGAGAGCTGTCCCAAGAGACACACTCATATTACGTGGGGGCACTGATCAATTGCAGGAGGGTTAAAGATCTGTGCTGAAATTGAATTGGGGCCTTTAACCTCTGGGTCACTAGGTCCCATTATACATTGCCCAAGCCCCCCCCAGCATGTACGGCTTTCCAGGCTAGGAAGTGCTCATTTAACAACCAGTAATCCCTGTGGCTGGCGGAGAAATGCAGCGGGGCACAGAAGGCAGCCCTCGGCACGTCTACCAGCAGAGGCGAAGAGCGTAAGGAGATGTCAGATTGCAGGATCATTGGGGCAGGAACCTCGCGTAGTAGCTCTGTGAAATCCCCAGGCGTTCATTTCTAGCGCACACGGGCCATGATCAGAATCAAGGCCCCTTTGTGCTGGGTCTAGACAAACATACACCGCTCCTGCCACAAAGCGCTGACACACAATGCGCCGGTGGAGAACAGGGAAAGCCATCAGAGCCAGGAATTAAGTCAATGAATGTTTTGACAAGAACTTCAGCGGGAAATCAGGTCTCATACCATTAGATAATCAGAAGGCACCATTTCCCCAGCACAGCTAGCAATGTTAAAAATGCCCCTTCCATTACCGCAGAGCCATTCAGCTTTCACAACGTGAGAGAGACACCAAGAGCCGCATTAGAAACACTTACGTAACAGCACAGTTGCCCGCGTGCTGATAGAAAGCCGATTTTTTACAAATAAAGTTAAACAAGTTCAAGATTCTTCCCCCCTTATCGCTCCAAGACAGCAAAATTATTAGTAGCTACCAAATTAGAGCCGACAACGTGGAATTTAAATACACACGGAGTTACAAAGAAACCCTCCAATGGCTCATTGCTTCTTATTCAACATTGGATAAAATAGCTTTTCAAAAATACGGTCTCCTTGCCGATAGTCAGTCCCTAGCCACAAAGGAAATATTAATGGTGTAGTTTCTAGCAGGTGCTAGACACAGTATTCCAGAATAACAATACTGACAGCAAATTTTATTTTGCTTTTTCACCTGGTCAATTGCAGGAACTGACATACTGCCAGAAACAATGGTGAAAGTCTCAACTGAGTGTATGCAAAACCAAACCATTCTGGAGACACAGAAAACATGGGCCATTTCTCACTGGGAAGATGCAAAGGTCCAGACTTCAGTTCAGTGACGTTTTTCAGGCTTATGATCAGATAAACATTTCAGTGGCCACTGCAGATTCACTCAGGAATATCAGGGCTGCACCTGAGGGGAGTGACATTGGCTAAGCCACCATACAGAAAACCTATCACAAGAAAAGGGAACCCAGCAGGTTTTGCCTCTTAGACAATATCCTAAGCATTGGGATGACCGTGAAATATTTCATCTACGTACTGGTGAACAAATCTGTCTTTACAGCATAAAATTGCTAAAGGCTCTATTCAATGAGAAATATGGATTGTTTTCTGCTGTGAAGAAGCCTAGACAAGCTGGTGGAAGGTGACTGTGCACCAAGCGGATTGATTTAGTGCGAACGCTCACATGCACTACGCAGCCCAACTAACCTTAACATTTTTTTATTTTTAAATAATGGCCTCCAGTCATCACTCCTACCAGCTGGAGGCCTTTCCAGATTCCAACACGAGTTTCATTGTTAGGATTTTTTTAAAATAAATTATGCATTTTACTGCATGTTATGGCGAATCTTCCTCCTTAGAAAGGCATCAGGTAATTTTACGGGGATGTTTTAATTCTCAAATTCTAGACTATCACAGGAAAGGAAAGCGCCCTGGAAAGCAAGCAGAAACAGCTGGGGCTGGGTGGGTGCGTGCATATGTATTTTTTTTTAAACCCAATCAGAACCCTAAGGTCAACCATTCAAACGAATGTTTAAAGGAACACAACTTGGATTTTTCAAATAATTTACCACCCTCCCGCTCAAATCCAGTTTCTGACAGAGCCACCTTCAGATAGTTATGCCCTGGAATTGGATAATGGGCTTGCTGTCCCCATGGAAAGGGCTTTGTTCTGTGTTTGCACAGTGCCCGGCGCAGTGGGGCCCTGACCCCTAGGCAGTACCCTAACCCAAACAATAACCATTTCACCACCGGAGAAACTGACTATACAGAAGAAACACTGAATGGGACGATACTTTGTGCAATTGACAGTGCCTTGTGTAAGGGCCGGGTTCTGCATTGGGGTCTGGGCAGGCAGACCCTCATGCTGAGCTCCAGTGAAATCAGAGGGGCTGATCATGGCCACAGGGGGCTGGCCCATAAGATTCCCAATGCAGGATCAGAACTTGTACCTGCATCTCTTGTTACTGGAGCAGATACAACATTTTTTTGACAAGTGCGATCTCCATTCAATTATAGCCCTTTAGCTTGTACAGAAAGGGGGGGGGAGTTATCCTCCCCCCCACCCCCACCACACTGTTCTTTACAAATAAAGCTGTTGATTTGGTTCTGAACACTCCTGTGTCTGAATCTCTTAATAAAACGCTTCTGCTGCTCGAGATCTGGAAGAAGATTTGAACTGAAGTATTTACCTTCTGTGGCAGAATTGCTCCCGAAAGGACAAAGACACAGGGGTGGGTTTTGATTGCTCTTTTTAAGCAGCTGCTCCCAGCGGCCCATCTTTTCCCTTCCTCCTCGTTCAGATTAAAACGTCATTCTTCCCGGTGACCACGACCTGTTGCCACAGGAATAGTCAGGAGGTCACAAACGGGCTTGATCTATGAATAGGAACAAGGAGAACAAAATGAGTAATGTAAACAGAAATACGGCAAGGTGTGCGGCTCCCCGCCCCCTCCACACACCCGCCCTGAACTCCTGGATCACGTGGAAGACGGCCTAACCTTTTCTATCCAGGAACTCCTGTTCCACTGACCACATGCCTCCAGCCACGTGCCTCCCTCCCGCCCCACCAGATACACCCTCATTTCTTAAAAGCCACTTGCTGCAAAGCATTTGTAACATTTTTATAACCTGCCTAACGAGGCTGCACACCCTGTGTTGCTGATACAACCAGCACCAGCACAGTCTGAGCCTTTTCAGCCAATGATATTCCGCCTTTGAACGAGAACAGATACAAATCCTCTTTAAGCATGTGAGCTATCTGGAAAAATACCGCTTTGTGCCCAGGGCCTTTTGTTACACCTTGTTCTCCATGCAGCTAGAAGGCTGCCTGCTACATCATTTCAGTAGCAAAATATTTGCTTCCGGTCTGGATGCTACCGTGTGTTTTAGGGAACAGACATTCAGTCGGGTGTTTAGCCATATGTTGGGTACAGGGGAGTTTGTCATTTAAAGGGCTCTCCCAGCGGTGTAATAAAACCTCCTCTGCGAGGGCAATGGCTCCCAGCGCTGTACCACTATCTACCCTGGCACTTTACTGCGCTAACGGGGGTGTTTTTTCACACCCCTGAGTGAAGAAAGTTTCAGCGCTGTAAGTGGCCGTGTAGACAAAGCCTAAGAGAAGTTTTCAGTGTGACTGATGCTCGGTAGGGACATAACCCAATTTCAGGCAACAAAGAATTTTCAGATCAGGAACGTTCTGTCCTGGAATGATTTCACACAACAGAAAGGGAAGCACTGGGAGACAGCGTATACTCCCCTGTAGGTACATGCAGAACTAGTCAAATATAGTTCTTCAAACCACCACCAAACAGGACACCCTAGTGATGTCCCCGTGACATTTACGCAGCAATGAACTGGGAACCATCACACCTTGTATTTTTTGTAAGTCTAGCACCCAAAATTCACTATCAGAATACGAAGCGCATTTGTCACTACTGTACTGCATTAAGTAATTTCACATTTATCACTGAAACTATATAAAACCCCATTCCACTTCAGTCCCCACTCCCCCGACCCTTCCTCAAATGCCTGCGCAAACAACTGAGCTCTGAAAGACAACGGATTCATACAGCACTTAGAAAACCACAATGTGCTAAATGTTCCCTTTTATCAGTGTAGTGTATATATAATTCATATATAGACACTGTATATATTTGACCAGTTCCCTCACCTCTCGTCTCGTCTCTGTATGCCGCCGTGTTCTAGACTGTGCTTTCCTATGGGGGGTATGGAAAAAAGGGGCCCCGATTCTGCCTGAATTAAAGTAGCACCCAGAGGCTACAAATTTCAATAATTCACCATAACAGCAACAATTCCCTGCCCAATTAAACAGTAACCGTGGTAACCTATTAGGAGAGCATTTATGATGCAACACAGGGAGGCAGAACCTCCCTATTCCCCAAACCACAGTGATTTCGCCCCATTTTCTCAACAATTTAGCAGCAGCCCAAGCAGCTCCGACTCCACCAGCCTGGGCCAGGTTGATGCAGATGGTATGAAATATCCCCAGACATTGAAGTCAGAGGGCACATGTTTCCTGGCGCAGACGCCCAGGGCAGGGGAAGGATCCTGGGGTTTTTAAATTGGGTTATTTGCTTAGTCACTAAACTTGCAAAACAATCACTTTTGGCAGCAAGTGTCCCAGTCACTGCCCTGAACGAGGCAGGTCCCTGTGGCCACCACCACATACCCCGGGGGGGGCCCTGTATAACCACACAGCGCCCTAAGGGCCCCCTCTCAGCCTCTGTCCACAGACCCCCCCACCAGATCCCATCCTACCAACACCCCAGCCCCGCCCCCAAACCAGCCCCCCTCCCCCACAGACCCCCCACCAGATCCCATCCTACCAACCCCCAGCCCTGCCCCCAAACCAGCCCCCCTCCCCCACAGACCCCCCACCAGATCCCATCCTACCAACCCCCAGCCCTGCCCCCAAACCAGCCCCCCTCCCCCACAGACCCCCCACCAGATCCCATCCTACCAACCCC